AAACCATTGCACAATGGGATTGGGACAGGATTTGCCCTATGTCAAAGTTTTTGTTTTTGGTTTGTTTTTTTTTTGTTAAGAAATCGATCCTTGCCGGGGGTGGGGGTGAGTTATGGGCAGAGGCTTAATCAAAAAGGGGGCATTCACAAATCACGGCTCAGGATAGGGGTTGTCCACAAAGGACGTCCCCGCACAACACTTACCTTTTGCATCCCCCCCCCTTCCGCCAGCATTTTTTACTAATGTGTAATGCCAATGTAAAACTAAATCAATGATATTTAATTATTGTTAAAAGACTTTCAAAAATCACTGCAGTGTTTCGTATTTATCATCTTACTGCTGTTTTGTGTTGAAACATGCTTGGTATCACAATGACAATGCATCGGACAACTTTAAGTTCACGACTTCATGATCAATGTATGAGTATGTGATTCTATTCCCTTAGTGTATTTGTGGCGTAATTATATCTTGGTGCTAACAAAATAGATTCACTATCTTCCCATTCATTTTTACACCACGCCCCGAGGGATCACATACAATGTTATATTTATAATGCCCCCCCCCCTTTAAAAAAAAACCAACTGGGTGGGGGAGGGGCATGAGAGAATAATTTCAAAATTAAGATTCACAATCATATGATAAAACTTAAAATTAATAAATATATTTGTATTTCAATATATTGGGGGAGGGGGGAATAAAGTGCTTAACTTAAAAAATAAATCATGGTTTAACATTACACCCCCAGCCCCCTCCCTTCCAAAAATAATAAGAAATGCTTTACATGCACTTTGCCACATACGCGTGGACCTTACTCAATATCTTCCCAAGGTAATAAACGAATTTTAAATAAATAGTTTTCAGTTTTAACACGAGTATAACATTAAATCTACAAGTACCGGTTAGGCCAAAAAGTTAAAGACTCGCAAAGACCATAGTTTTGCTACTTTAAATCGCTGCGGTGTACGCAGACCACAGACAATGATTTAGCTAGGTACACCGCCGTGGTGTACGCAGGCCAAAGTCAATAGTTTCGCTAGGTACACCGCCGCGGTGTACGTAGTGCCGGCCTATTTAAAAAGTTGATTTAAAAAGTGTTTTCATATTTTTTCCATGAAGCCTTACTCTTATTACTCTTACGCTTAGTCCTTGGCCTTAGTATCTAAGAAGGATCGTTAGACAAACCAGGCAGTCACTATGACTATGAGTTAGTAAGTAAGTTAGGCCCATTAAATTTACTACTTACATACATCATACAGTAGGTACTTCGGTAAGTCAAGGGAGACTACTACTTTTTGTGTATGGGATTTCGCAATCGGCGCCAAAAAATCCGAGTTTTTAATTTTCCGATGTGTGTGTCTATTTATTATTAAATTAGTACTTTCGATATGTATTTGAGTTCCGTTTTCGGCCTTATAATTAGGTAGACATCTTGGCCTAGATTTTAATCAATTTCTTTTTCATTTACAATCAGTCAGCTTTGAGAAAATCCTTGGTAAATATAAGGCAACTTTCATCATTAAAATTAAGTAGAAGGAAAAAATTTGTCACTACCAAATTTTTTTTGCATCTGGGGAATCTATTGATCTACATGTATGCCAATTTTCACAGCGATAAGTGTCTTACGAGAGACGCTATGTTTCTGCGCGTTCGCAGCAGGTCATGCAGCTCGCTCAACCTAATTTCGTCATGGGGTGGGCCACGCCCCCTTTGTAATGGCGGAAGTTGCCGATACTTAGGAAATATTAATTTATTACCACTATCTACATCAAAATATTTGATAACTTGTGTTTCAGAATGCATTTTGAAGACATTTAAACTGGAATGTTTTAATTTGAGCTTTAACAACCCGGTAGAATCCATATTATAAATGATCAGAATTTACCGTGTGCAACACGTTGTCATTGGCAACCATTCACAGCCACTTGCATAACGGCTGTATCGTAGTACTACCTCAGAGTTTCATTCATAAGAGTTTGCCGTGTGCAAAAACTATTAAACCATTGGTCAGGGAAAGCTTTAATTAATTATTCATGTGCCAAAGTTGAAAGTTTAAACTAAGTCGACCCTAAACAGTATTTTAGTGATAAGGCGATGCGTTGCCTTATATAAAGTATATAGTCATTGCGCATGACGCGATCAGCGGAATGAGGTCACAAGATGTGGAGGTTTCGTCCATAGTAAAAAATACCAAACGAACTCACACTTTAAAAATTCATAGCTCAAAAAGTACTTAAGCTAAAAAGTTGATTCTGGTTTCATTTTTTTTATTTGAAATTAGCTCTAACTAACTGTGCTATTAAAAAAATTATTTGAATTTTTTTTAATTTTGTATCCAAGTGCCTACATACTACATACATACAGTCATAAACTTGCTGCTAGCGCGGATAGCATTTATTTGCCTAATTATTATAAATAACATAAAATTGTATAATTCACATATGAAAACATACTGTCCATAGTTTCAGACACAGCGGGTGCTTTAGATTTCGGATTTGACGCAGCCATTCAATTTTGTATAACTCCTTTCAATTCAAAAAATTAGTTTGCTGGAAATATTTGATTTGTTTGGTTTTCTAATTTCGGAGTCAGGCTATTTACCAAGATCCAAAATTTAAAAAATTAAAACTTTTCACGAAGGTCTTTTTTTTTTTTTTAATTGAAATTCAATTAAAAAATTAAGAAATTAAATGTAATATCAATGGTGTTTTTAAAGTCAAAAATGTAATTGAGAAATTTTTTGAATAAGATTTAAATTACATGTTTAGGTCAGGAAATATAGGTTACATTCTACGTTATCGGAAATGGAGATTGGGCTAACCAACAACATGTAAATTTATTATAGAAACGCCTAGACTAGTCGTTCTAACAATGCTATTCAACAAATCATTTTAAGGTCTTACTCTACAAATGACCTTGCTAAAGATTAGGAAAATGGAAAATAAATCCTGGAATCAAAATCCGTGGAGGGGGGGCATGAAAGTATACAAATGCTACAAACTCTAATAAAATACCAATAAAATTCCCATTTTAATTGCGGTTTAGTTAATGTCAGTGGCGTAGCGAGGGGGTGCGGATCGCACCAGGTGACACCATCTCATGGGGTGACACAAAACTGAAAAATTGCATATTTAAAGAGCACATACTGATCGGTCTAACAGAATTTCATATAAGGATAACGGATCACACGTAAATTTCCAAACATGTAACTAATCAAAATGAATGCTTTATAAAAATTCCAGGTTGTTGCGTCAGAAATATGTTTTATAAACAATCAATTAGGTCAGAAAAACACCGCTTTGACCATGATTCAACGAGGATTTAACAAGAAGAAATCCATCGTGGAAGTCGGGCTTGGCACCGCACCGGGTGACACCAACCCTAGCTATGCCACTGGTAAATGTAGTTATTAACAGCAGCTTGGAAGAACTAATTTATAGACGCAATGGAAGAAACAAAGTCACAGGAGTGCCAAATTTAGGTGTAGTTATAGGTGGCTTCCTAGGACCGCACTTTTCAGATGACACTGCACTTCTGTCGCACAACCAGCAACAAATGCTGGGAAAGACATTGCCACCTTTTCAGCACAGCTTGGACTCAATATAAATAAAATCAAGAAAAAGATCATGAAGGTAAACTCAGCCAACCAAAAGCATATCTCTCTGGCGGGAAATGCACTGGAAGAAGTGGAGGTCTTATCATACTTAGGCAGCATCATTGACATAAATGGTGGATCCGAAGCAGGTGTACGGAAATGTTTTCACTAGGTATCAGTATCTAGGATAAATATCAAACTTAGCATAAAATAATTAAGGAAGAAAAATTATAAATAATTGTTCATTTAAAATAAACAATAGAAAACATAAAGCATAATCTTAAGTTCTTATTTAAATTGTTAAGTACTGTGGCGCCTCAAGTTAAACAGCTCAACATGCCGGCCAAGTTTTGAATTGGTCCCCCTCCCCCGGAAAAAACCCCGAAATGGCGTCTCTGATTAAGGGGCGGCATTTTTTTCTTGCCTATAGCAAAAAGCTTTCTAATGCTAGCACGGATCAAAGACATATCCTTCATTCTTATTAGCGACAAAGGATGGTGGACTGGGGAGTTCAAGCGGCCGGGAAAAAATCAAAGCGGCCCGGGGAAAAAAAAAAAAGCGGCCCTATGTTCATGACTTTTATTTTTATTATATCACCGGTCCTAGCGGCCCATCGGGAAACTTCCCGGTGTCCCGGCGGCCCAGTCCACCCCTGGATAGAAATGATCTCCGGCAAATATATGGACCAACTAATGGTAATATAAATTGAGAAACGAACCGACCAGGATTCCACGGTAGTAGCAGATTTTATTATTATTTTTTTTTAGTTGGCAGGCTACGCTGGGTGGGACACTTACAAAGAATGCCAAAGGACAGAGGAGTGAAAAGGATACGCCACCAAAACCCCATAGGAAAACGGCTCCTAGGCAGACCTAGGCCTAGATGGGTAGCCGATGTGGAAAAAGATCTAAAGTACCTGGGAATCCAAGCATGCAATGGAAAAGCATCAGTTAAGTCTGCGTTGGAGGAAGTGGTGAGGCAGGGTAAAGCCCTTCACGGTCTATATAGCCATATTAGATTACTAGTTCAAGGTCATGTGGCATGGACATATTAAAATTAAAGTCAATAGTTTGAATGACTTCATTGTCATTCTGGTCACCACAGTTACATGTCAACACACTACTCATAATGTCTACAACCATGGACCTAGAATTTACAATTTACATGCAGTTACAAATTAAATTTAATTTAGTAATTTATTTTTGCCATGACATTAAAATTAAGTGCCACATAATCAAATAATGGTTATTTCGCTCATCATCTCGGTTTTTATAGATCATCTCGGTTAAAAGTGACTGCGTTTTTAAAAAGTCCTTTCAAAAAGCGGAAGTAAATTTAGTAGACCAGACTAAAAGAATGTTAAAATTTAAGGTGGGCAAATTATACGGAAATGGAAATTGCAAGTTTGAACAAATCCTTCTGAGAAACTTGTAAATGTATTATGATGAAATTTATAATCGGGCATGTCTTCTACTGCTTTGCTTTTCTTTACATTATTTTTCCAAATAGAAAACTCAACAGCCTAAAGCCTAAATGAAAAATAATTCTTAATCACTATTTTCTTTTGCATGGTACCGCAATTAGTTTACCTACTAAATTAAATAAAATTGAATTATTGGTAATTAATAAATTATGAAAGTTACAGTTAATTAATTTGTTCTATTTGTAATTTGTGATGTATTTGATAATTTGTTAGTAAAAGTGGTGCATGATTGGCAAGAATCATTTAACTATTTATTTACCTAATAACTTCGTTAAACTTAAATACCAAATCTATTTTAAAGAATCAAATTTCACATCACAAAATGAAAATGATGCATTTGCTATAAATTTACATCCTAATTCTTTACTTTACACTTTCAGTTTAGTAGGCTAACTTAACTAACTAAGAGTTAAGAGTTAGTAATAGCCTAATATTTAACACATGTGAATGTGATGATAAGAAGACCAATTAATTTTTTAACATTTATTGTCTAAATTAATGTTTGATTACTGATATATATTTTATGCAGGATTCTGGAATGAAAAGACACCGACAAGAATTGGTGTAAATTAAAATATGAGCACAGGTGATAAGACTCTCATCAAACAGTAGTAGTTCACTTCTATCATTACACACATTCTCAACACCAGAACCTTCCTTACACCATCAGAGCAGAGTCAACAGTATGTCTAATTCAAAAGAAGGCAATGTGGGAATTGGATTGCCACTTCATGCAAAGTATGGCCAATCTTATGTTTCTCCAAGCAAAAACTTGTACGCTATTGACCCGGCATGTTCCCCTGTGTCAAGAAAGAAAGCGGCCATGATTGATGAGGTTTTATGTTATGATAACGACAAGCCCAGACATCAGAACAGGGAAACAGAAGTTTCTGACGGACCATTGCCATATTTAGAGAATGTTAATGAGAATGATGGGCATGTCATTTTCAAATATCAGACAAACATTGGTGGAGATATACGACAGCAGCTCCTAGTGCAGAGAGCATTCAATACTCACGATGGTTGGTAGAATGAAGTTGATAATATAACAGGACATTACTTTCCAATCTTTCTTATGTACTAAAGTTAAGCTGAAAAGGATTTCATAAAAAAGATTTTTCACTCATTTTCTCTATCCATATTATAAATTAAAATTAATATATTAACTGTAGAGCCATGGTGATGTGTTTGCAGAAATCCCTTCAAATTTTAATCATGTTAACTGTGCAACTTCATTCATATATTTGCTGTCCACTTCTATGTATTTGAAGATCTTCATGAACCAAAGGCATCAAGTCCCATGCGAAAGATCAGAGTTTGTACAACAGCCACAGGCATACCAACTATGACAGTGAGCCCCAGTAGTGGAACATTAAAGTCACATGGACACAATCTTGGTGTGTAAACATTCTTCTCAAGACTTTTTACAAACTACCTTTGTTTAACTTAGCTTCTTGTTTGTTTTAATAGCCGGCCATTCTTATATTTGCTATTTGACATTTGATAAGCGTGATCTTTTCTGTATATTGCTAATAATTTTAATTAATAAATGTAATTGTAGCTTAAATCAAACAAAATAATATATTGGTTAATATTTTTATTCACAGATGGTGGAGACGGCATGAACCACCATTGCCAACCTTACATGATGTCCCAATTTATGTCACCATCTTCTCACGGTAGCGTAAATTAAAATTCTACTCCAATATTAAATAACAAATTAACTGGGGCTCTCTCACCTGATAACTCATTGTAATTGTAATTTCATGATAACCACATTGGACAAAACATGGATAATTTGTACTTGAGAAAATTGAATGCCAAGTTGTCCCCAGCCTTCATTATTATCCCTGACTAATTGCAAATAAAATTGAAAGCAAATGTGTACCAATTCTTTAGGGAAATCAAGGGCAAAAAAGAGCTAACACAACTTCCTTACTCCCTAGATCTAGCAGTATAAAAAAAATTTACTTTAACTTTTTTGAGTCAGTTAACAAAGACAAAGAGGAAATACACACGACTTCTGAGAAAACAGATGAAACAGCGGAAACCCATAAGGCAGGGCAGCAGTGCTAGTTACAGGAATTAGAGACTGTTTGGGGCAAATCAGATTATTAAAATTTAATGAGAGGATCAGTCCGGGTTTTTTATAGCCACACTTCATAGGTGAAGAAATAGACAGATAATTAATTTAAACAGAATTTCATTTATTTATTTTTTCAATTTTCAGCTGGGCCAGCCCATGATATTCAATCTATATTCAAGACACCAATCCGCAATCAGAGACCAAATGAAGATGCTCATGGAGTGACACCATCTCATCAAGGAACACCATTCATGCTATCCCCAGCCAGCTCTGCTTCCTATGGGTTTACCCCTGGGCGCCAATTTGTGAACCCATTTGAGGTCGACCATGACAAATTACATATGCCTATTTTCAGTCCCAACATGTTCAGTGTAACCAGCTGTGCAGGAAACAGCAGAAAAGAGGAGGTAATGAAATGTGCAGTGAATTACATTGGGTTTCCTTTGGGGTTTAATGTTCTAATTATGGCATGTACATTTAAAACATGAATAATTTCATTCTAGTTGTTATACTATTGAAGAAGAATTACTTTGAAGTATCTTTTTTTTTCCATTTGGAGCATTTGCTAATTGCTGTATTTTGTGTCTAATACATCACTATAATATATAATTTAAAAAATTCATATTCTCATACCCTCTACAAATGAGCTCTACCCCACCCTTCAAAAATTTTATCGACAAAATACAAGACAAAAAAATAATTTTATATCATAAATTACATCACTCGCAATGAACGATGCGGATGACTAGCCTTGGGTACTAACAACCCATGCCATGCAACTGACTAAATGTAACATTTTGTGGCGCAGCTAGAAATTAGGCTTGAGTACAAATATGCTTCTGTTTCTTCTAATAAAAAAATATTGTGGTTTATAGGGTTTCTGGTCAGTGGAACACGCTGCCTTGATTATGCCTGTAGAAATTAAAGAGGCTGAAATCCGACGGCAACTTCGCTATCAACAAAAGATGTACGTTGTTTTCTTTTCCCTAAGATGGGAATTAATTATTAGAACTTCCTTTAAAAATTTCAACTATATTTTCAACTCCTGAACGTCGTATTTAATTTGGGATTTTTGACCAGCCAAAACAAACTTTTGAGTTTGAGCCACACTAAAAAAAAAAATGTAGCTTAATCTATAGAATTTTTTTGTTAAAAAATCAGTTCTTCAGGACCATTTTACTGCTTTGTTTAAAGTTTAAAATTTTCTTTCACCATTGTTAATGTGTACATTGAACTTTACAGAGACAAAGAACAAGACGTCAAAATCCAGGCAGCCATCAATAAATTTTTCTCCAATGAAGTCATTGTGCCGTCGCCGTGGAGTGAGAAAGTGACTCATGTGCTACCTCGCACTCCAGGAGGCTTGAGATCGAGTAAGGACTTCATTTACTACACCAAAACTCAGGCTTTTAACTAACATATATTATTGTTTGTCTTTGTTTTGTTTTTATTAAAGGAGATTACTATCGGTATCCATATAAAACATTTGACATGTTTATAAATTACTACATGATTGATTTGTGTCAGATTTAAACAGTAAATCTCAGGTACAAGAGCAATAATGAAAAAATCTAATTTAATAATAGATCTGTATTTATATTCTACACATTTTTCAAGTTTAATGTTTTTATTTATTAATATCAGACCAGATTTCTGAATGCTATTGAAATTCTGATTTGTGAGATTTTTATGTTGTAATTGAATCTGGTGATACAGTTAAGTTTTCTCAACCCACTGAAGTTTTCTTAGTTTTGCTTTTTCATTTTAATAAATTTGAAGTTACCATTATTTCTTTTTTTAAATTCATGTTTCATATTTCTCATAAGAAACATATCACATACTTAATGTTTAGTTGGGTTGTTTTTTTTTCAGTTTCATGTCAAACCACCATGTCTGTGCCTCCTAATGTTGATCTGTTTACTGAGTTGGAAGGTAGGTTTCAAACATATATATTCCTTATGTTATTTTACAGAACATTTGAGTTTTTCAGAGACATAAATGAAATCAGGGAATTAATTATTAATTATTGTGATAATATTTTCTACTACTTTCACTTGCTTTGGTTGAAATTTCAACAAGACACTGACTAATTGAGTTCATTCTATGTTGATGCAAGTTTTAGGTTTTAAGAGTATTTTCAGATTTATAGTGTGTTTGCTTGTGTGAGTTCTCAATATTATTGCTTGTGAATTAAATCAGGCAAATATCAACTGCCAGACCACAAAACAGAAGCATCTCCAGGCTCTGACCTTATGATCAACTCTTTCATTAGACGAAAACTTCTCCATCAGTTGAATGACAATGACAGTTCACTTGGTTCACCGTCACTGCCTGGAAGGTAGGACTAGGATTTGGAATGAAACACAGACTCGAAAACAAAGTCTTTTAAAACTTAATCAAGAGCATGCACTCGCAAGAAGAGACTTAATGGTTATAGTTTTTTTGGCTCTCTAGGTAGACTTTTAAAAAAATGATGTGGCATCGTCAACCCTTCTAATAGGTTTGATGATTGGCAACTCTTCCAAAGGGTTTGTTGATATATATTTAGATATACATTTAATAATTCAAAAGCGACAGACTGTGAAATGTTTTAATTTTACAGGCCTATGGAAGAAATTTCTAGTTCACCGTCACCAACCAAACAAACAACACCTGAATGGGAAAAACAGACACCCAACAAAATAGGCCCAGTGAGTAACCCAAATGTATAACAATGATTGAACTAATCTCACCCTTTCCAATTGTATTTAATGGTCAGTAAATCTTTTGTTGTGCCGTTCTGTAGTAGAGCTGTGCCTGAAATGTTAATAATTTATATAAATTTTTTTTTTAAAATCTACTAAATGCAAGGTGAGCATGGACAAGTCATAGCAAAAGTCATGTCAAAGTATTGATTTTAGTTTTATTAGTATTTTTTATTGCAAAACTTGCTGAGATATAAAAATAACTATTGAGGTGTTAAAATTACTACTACTGTGACATTAAATTACTTTCAGGGTCATTTCTCCTCCAGTCCAATTCGTCATAAAGCAGATAATAGAGGAAGCTACCATGCTATGCCCGAAGATGAATTTTTAGCTTCTCCTGAATTGTCCCCTATTGCAGGCAGAGGTTAGTCTTTTTTTTTGGGGGGGGGGGGGGGGGTTATCAAATTTCTTTTTGTTGTTGAAAAACAACACATATTTTTTTGAATTAGCAGCGGAACTAATTTTACGGTTGGGATATGGGGAGAGGAAAAGGGGGGAAGGGGGGGTTATCAAATATCCATTAGTTGATGTAAAACAACTAGTTCCTATGTTATATTAGGACAGTGTCTATCTCACTGACAAAAATTGCCCACATATTTCTAATTTATATCAACTCAACACTCTTAATCACTTTATTTCACACTTTTCCTTTTCCCCACAGGGAGTAAATCCATGAGGTCATCTGGTATATATTATTCCCATCAAGACACAGAGAACCCCAGAACAGTCATGCATTTGGATTTTTCTTCTATTCTAGGTAAATAAGAATGCAAGATTGCTTTTAACTTTAAATCTAATTAAGATTACCGTCAATTTGAACTTCTTCTTCTTATATGTGAGGGCCCACGATCAATTTATTGATCATTCTGGCTCCTGGTTTGAATTGAGAGTTTGCCTTCTCTTAAGTGAGTTGCCATCCTAGGCTAACGAGTCCCATCAACCTGTGGTGCTTGGGATGGTTTTTTGCATTTGGTGGGGTTTGAACTCCAGACTATCAGCTATTTGGTTTGAGTCAGTTTAGACCGCTCGGCCACCCAGCACCTTTTCTTTAGAATTGCATAGTTGTATTGGGGTTCATTCCCTATCAAACTTTCCGAAGATCTATCTCAATCTACAAAATTTATTTAGCAACTGAAGCTGATCAAAGGTTGGTGTCAATACTGGTAATCTGAAAGTACAACTGAATGGCACAAAATACACATGAATTTGAAAATATGGTGCCAGCTGAGTTTGCTGATCATTGACCTATACAATATTTCTTTCAGATGACCCAGACGAATTTCAAGATGAAACATCAGACAAAACTGGCACAGTGACACAAAAAGTGGCTTCAGAAACCTACCAGGACACTGAGTCAACCACATGTAACAACGACGCCATGTCTGTAGATCACAACCATCTCACATCTGCTGTTTCCCATGACAGTGATGGGAACACCAATAAGTCTGGAGGGTTCTCCCACAGATCCCTGCTCACATCTGCTACTGAGTCCAACCAGGACATGTTGGGCTCAATGCCCCAGTCCTGCTTCAGTCAGGACACTGGTTATCAGACGGTGAGCCTGCAATCCACCAATCAGGATTCAGGCTCCAATTCCAATTTTACATCGTTGGAGACCATGCCATTTCTCCAATCACAGCATGCCCCAGACAGCAATGCCATTCAAGCAAACTTTAACACATGCCCCTTTGCTGGCATAGGGAAGGAGTTTGCCATTGAAAACAAAGCAGAGGAGTATAATTTTCACAGACACAAAACAGAATTAAGTATGGACAAGGATGGCAGTTTTCTTGGCCTTGTCAGTTTGCAAACTAGAGAAAAAGGCAAATCTGCCGATGACATTGTCGCAGTTAAGAAAAACGAAGCTTGTAGCATAAGGAAGGTTAGGACACTCAACGACATCAGGCAATCAAAAGTTAGCAGAGATCTGACCCATTCATTCAATGAAGAGAAGGAAAGATCTGAAATCAGTGGCAGCCAGTGCACAGCATGGTCAAATCGGGCTGCCAAAAACTTGCATTCCAGAGACGCAGATAAACACTATCCAATGCAAGTGGGATGTTCTTATGGGGGTGAGGCTTCTTCTGTGGTCAACACACCTGTCCATAATAACATGGCTCACAACCCTCCCGATCTTTTTGATGTGAGCATGCGGAGCCTGAGTCCCTATTTCAACTCTTCTTCGGAAAGAAAAGGAATCAATAATTTCAATGCCCAGACCTGTGATGAAAGGGGTTGTTATGACCGTAGTAGCACGCCGTACAAACAGGAGCCACAATCCAGCCATGGTTCAGGGTGCGATGACACACTTCAAGCTGCTAGGTTACTCTTGGGAAAATCCGTAGAGCTTCGGATGAAGCATTCCCACAAAGACACAATGAAATCTGACTCTGGTTCAGATATTGAAAATCAGGCTCCGGAGATGTGTGAATATGAGATGGATTCAACATCAAGTCTTGGTAGGTCAGAGACACCACCTTTTAAGATAAATCCTGTGGACACATCCACTCCGACCTCAAGGGCATTTACCAGCCTTAAGAAGAAAATTGACAAGATAGAGGGAGGCAAGCTGGGAAGTAAGTCTTGTGTTCATTGTAACAATTATTTTCTTAAATTTTATAATTTATTCTAAAAAATTACAAAAGAAATTCTATGACGATATTACAATTGCCACTCGCTTTTAAATTACAAATTTGAATAGTCAAATTAGACATTAGAAACAAAGGACATAGGATACAAATAACCGTCACACAGTTTTATGTCTCTAAAACGACACAAATTACTAACATATTAGTATCTCCCCTTTATAAATATTCTGATTTATAGGGTTGTTTTTTTTTATATTTCAGGTGAAATTGCAGCTGAAATACTGAAAAGAGCTGGCGATGATTTGGCCAAGCTGACAAACATTATAGGAAAACAATCTCCTTCAACTTCATCATAAACAGGATCTGAAACAATGATTCTTTCTGAATTAATTAAGTATTTCCTTATGGGGTAGTATGAGAACATTGATATTACTAGTATTATGTCTCTATTAATCTGCTCAGTATGTATTTTAAAAAGTTTACTTATTTATAAGATTTTAATGTATTATTTTCATTGAAGAGGAAGGTTTTGTTTAATCTTTGTATTGCTGATAGAGCACCACTAACATAATCATCAGTGTAATTTGTAAAATATAATCAGTTTTAAACAAGAAATATTAAAATTGCTGATATAGTCTTAGTTTGATGGAACCCACCAAAAATGTATTAAATTTAAATTAAAAATTGCCACTGTTCAATGTTGTCTAAACATAGATTTGTGATACTAATAATAATTTTCTACAACTAATGTATATTGTATATAGCCATGCATAATTTCTCTATGTTAACGTTCCCATCCCAGATTTATAATAAATTATATTCACCTTTTAAGAAACTATAGTGATATATACTATTATATAGTGGTTTTTAAATGTTTTTCTTTCAGACCCCCCCCCCTCTCTTTCTTGGTGACTTATCTCGTCCCTGATAACATCAGTACCAATTTGAGAGCCACTGCTCAATAGGAAATGTACAAATTACTCCAAAAAAAAGGGTCTTGCCACTCACTACAGCAGGCTTGCACAACATGGGGCTCACCAGCACCCACTTTGCGACTCGCGAAGTAACAAAATATTCATTGTTACCCGGTATTATTTTTCTTAATAGCTTTCCCAGCTGTCCTATTTTAAAGTTTTTCATGAAGTATTATGGCCCGCGTTACACTTATATTTTACATTTTGAGTTGTGCAGGCCTGAACTACAGGGTTTATGAAGCCTATTCAAGTCATATAATCAAATCTAAAATTGTCTTTTCACTGAGGAGAGCTTTTGTCTAGAAATGAAAACCATATTTAATTTACAATACCGGGTATCCATATTTAGAGTTATTTGCCATACCCGGTAGTTTGATTTATTTTTAATGTGTCCCTCCTTTCATTTATTATTTGGCGCCCATTGTATTTATTTTTTTAACAGGGCGCAGAAATAAAATTCCTTAACCACAAATAAGGTACCATATTGTTAGCTAAAGGAATAAAGTTGTTGAAAAAAGTAACAGCATCATTAATTTACTTATCTATTTCCATTACTGGTACTACCTGTTTTTAATTTACAATTTCAAAAAACAAACAAAAATTTTCATATAAATCCTTTATATAAAATGTAATATGGAGCAATGTGGGGTGGGGCTGAAATTTTGACAAAACATGCCTACACAAGTAAACACTATAAGAAATCCCACCCCCCAATTTTTTTCATGCCCCAGAACTATATTAATATTCTAATGACCTACCCACTTTAGTTTTACACAGCAGATTTATAAAAAACCTTATTAACTTATTATTAACTATTTCAATTTCAGAAAAAAGAAAAATGTTACGCAATAAAAACGCACTTGCAATAAAAAAAATTTTTAAGAATCTCATATGGTAGTTACCGGTATCAGAAATCAGTGTCATCATATTTTCCTCACGTTTCACTTGAATTGAAAAACTGGGGCTTTTTTGCGGATTGGGGCTGAAAATTAGCAGTCACAGTCAGAAGATTTGCCATTTTTTAGCCACGAACAAATGTGAAGTTATATTATAAAATATTATAAAGGATTTAATAATAACACAGTTAGTACCCGGTACTAATGAATTGTGACCTCAGCCTATTATGAAATGATTAAGGGGGTATTCAAAGAAATGAATTGTATTATTTTGTATGGTACTGTTTGAGGTTTGTCCACTAATTCAAACTCGTAAAATAGTCTGGTTCTAAGTTCTATCACAACATGCCCAGCATAGTGAGGATTGCAATATAGTGGTGGTAAAGATGCAGGGGAGACCTGCCTGGGCGAATAACTCTGGAACATTATCCTGCCACTGCCAGATAATTTTAAGAATGTTTCTCAGGCTCGTAAGGTAGAAGTAGAAGTGGTTCAGCTTTCTTGTTCGTGTTTCACAACTTGTGTCAGTAGGGCAGGGAGTACAGCCTGTATACTTTTATTATAATTATCAGTTTGGGTACCGATGTCCAAATTATATAAAATTTAATTTTAAAAATTAATTTTTTGGTGCCATACAATTACAATGGTTATTGGTACCAGAACTTCAAACTCCTTTATTTCTATGGACTTATGTGACATGTTTCTATTACAGTATTACTGCAGGAGCAAAATTCTTTAGGAGTACCGGTATTTTAGGAGTCACACCGTTTTAGATGATGGCCTGTCTCTTTCCCATAAAATACCTAGTCTCTTCTGCGTGTACGACTAATATACCGGTGCTAATAATAAACTTTGAACAAGCATTGAATTATTCTAGTAAGTTCAGTAAGGGTTTTAAAACATTCTAATTAAGGTCAACAAATACCAGTATTGAATTTGAAGGTAACTATAATAATTAAATACCGGGGATATATAAATATAAATTATAACCATGGGAATCCAGTGGAAGGAAAAGTGAAAAAAAAGGGGGGGCACTGGTGGAACCAAACTTTATTACCATACGGTACCTAAGAATTAGAGCAGACATCAATCTGGACTACCGGTATTTTATTTTTTCTAATTATAACTAATGTAGCTGAAACGGTTACAGAATGATGGTGAGTTATGTGTTCAATGTATTTCCTAATCAGAATCAATGCACAGACCAAAGGAACCATATTATAATACTAATAATATGAAAATTGATTTCTTACTTTATGATGTACTGTATCAAAAGTGGACCTGGTCCACTAAAGTGTTATTAGTATTAGTTATTAGTACAATATAATTATTAATGTACCCCGGTAACATTATCGGTACTGTCTAATGACAAACTAGCTTCAGTACCGGTATACTAAAATTAAACATTGGAGAATGGTTCAAGACCACTGTTGGAGTAAGACAAGGCTGCCTGCTCTCCCCCACCCTATTCAGCATCTTCCTAGAGAGAATTATGTCAGATGCTCTGGAAGCGCATGAAGGGACAGTCAGCATTGGTGGCAGAACAATCACCACCCTACGCTTTGCGGACGACATAGACGGACTGGCTGGGAACAAAGAGGAGCTAGCCAACCTGGTAAAGCATCTCGATAAGACCTTGTCGTCCTATGGCATGCTAATCAGTGCCAAAAAGACAAAACTGATGACAAATAATACCGCAGGCATCACCACTGAAATTAAGGTCGGGGAGGATAGATTAGAGACTGTCAGCCGCTTCAAATACCTAGGAGCAATAGTCTCAGAAGAAGGCTCCAAGCCCGAACTGATGTCCAGGATTGCGCAGACTATAACAGCACTAAAGAAGCTCAAGAAAATATGGAATGACAAAAATATAGCCCCCAGCACCAAAATCAGACTGATGCGCTCATTAGTCCTCTCCATTTTCCTGTATGCCTGCGAATCCTGGACATAAACAGCCGATCTTGAAAGGAAAATGAAGGTCAGGGAGATGAGATGCTTCAGCAGCATTTTTGGCATCTGCTATAGGGACCCTATCTCCAATGATACAGTGAAAGAAAGGGTTCGTCAGGCAATTGGGGAGTACGATGACCTACTGGTGACTGTGAAATAACGCAAACTACAATGGTACGGAAACGTAACAAGGAAACAAGGGTTTGCCAAAGAAATATTGCAGGGCACCACAAGAGGAGGGAGAAGAAGAGGAAGACAAAGATGGGAGGATAACATCAAAGCGTGGACAGGACTAAAACTGGGCGATGCAGTGCGTAGTGCTGAAGACAGAGGAATGGAGAATGGTTCACATGTCATCTGTAGCGCCCCAAGGACTAAGGGACATGAGGATGAGAATAGCTTGGGAAATCGATCCAAGTTATTATAAGTGTGATAAAAATACCCTTTTTTGTACCTGGTACCATAACATGATTTCCTTATTTATTATTTATCAAGTTTTTAAATGAGGAGCATGAGTGAGATTTATTCCCTACTGGACTCACTTTGGGTCTTAAAAGATACCAGTAATAATTAGTGATAAAAAGTTACTGACACTATTTCTTCATCCTTTAATATTTTTCCTTACTTGCTTATTACTAAATCCCATATAATTGGTTGCTTGTTCAATTTATGTGTCTTGTTCTTTTGTTTCTCTTAGCTACTGTATAAGATCTTTAAGACAAAGCAGCCTGCACTCACCCCAATTTTCTGAAATAATACTGACAACCCCCCTCCCCTTCTCTGAAATTACATTGACACTATGAGGCCCTTGGTCTCAAGAGTTTACAGTGTAAATAATGCATGATTTAACTTGACAAATCTAAGTACCAGTACCGGTATATACAACAATTTAAAAAAAAATGAAAATGCTTAAAACTTTAAATTTAGTTTTATAATTTATTACACAAATTAACAAGACACAGCTTATTCATCCTCCTTGGATCTGAGGCGGGCATTAGGATTTGTCACTTTGATGGCCAACTGTTGGGCACGTTCAACAATGTCTTTACGCTTCTTGCTGGAGACATTATGTGCGATCTCAGCTGAAAATGTACGGTTCTGCATCAGCAATACTTCCAACTCCTGAAAAAAAACGGATGTCAAGTTTTATGTAACGTTTTTAATGGGAAATTGGATCCAGTAACTTTTTAAACTCATACCAGCTCATATGCTCTAAGAACAAAATAATCCAGTCAATGTTCAAAACTTTCTTAAACTCATACCAGCTCATATGCTCTAAGAACAAAATAATCCAGTCAATGTTCAAACTTTCTGATTTAGCCTCTATCAGCAACAAACATACACTAAGAGACTTTAAGTATACTTTTTCTGCACACTTTTATAATTGATACTGAGAGATGCACACTGAACGTTCACTGAGACACCTGGCTTTTGTACTAGGTTATGAGGCCGATGTACTACCATTGCATTATACAGCCACCAAGTGAAAGTTATTAAACACTTCATTACCGATGACGTCGATGCGACGTCACTGTCACCCACTTAAAATTACCAAGGACGTCATATTGTCAAATTTCAATGCTATATATTTCCTTATTCGTTAACTATAGAGAACTTTAAAAAAAAGCAAATGGGATAGAGAATGAAATATACCTAAAATTTCATCGTTCAAGCTTTTGTTGCTGAGTCAGCAAAAATCTATGCCCCAAAACCCTGCAGTAATGAAGTGGTTAAGTTTAATTTTGCACCTGCTTTCAGCTTATAGAATGTGTAAAAAAAAGATTTACATACCCTGACATTGTGTACCAAAAATTTCTTGAACCCATCAGGGCAGATGTGCTTGCACTTTTTCCAGGTACCATAACCAATGTTGGGCATCTTGTATTGACCCTTGAACCTCCTCCTTACTCTGTTGTCAATACCCTTGGGTCTACGCCAGTTAGCCTATACAAACAAAAAAACTTTGCTCATCAGTAACAGTAAACTTTACAAATATCTAGTTAATGCCTACAAAAAAAAAAAGCTTTCAATTTTAAAAATGTTTATTTTTCATAGCAATGAACAGGTTATCGGTATTGATGTTAGTTTTACCTTGACTTTTCCATATCTGTCTGATTGATGACGGATGAACTTTTTGGCCCTTTTCTTCACAATGTTAGGCTTGATTAAGGGTCTGATCGCCATTCTTGGTGATCTGTTAAAAAAAGTAGAGCATGATATAATTATAATTGCAAATTTGTAGACCCATAAGCTAAGATTTTAGTGATTTCTTATGGTTTATTGGTTTAAACAAAACTTTTTTAGACTTATTGAAACCATAACAGGGTAACAGGCAAAATCACATAATTCATGCAGACCTGTAAGTAATTATTGGACTTGCACAGAGAAGAGATGAATAAACCAATATTGTGTGTTGCTAGGCAAGATGACAGGATTAGGATTTTAAGACATGATTGCCCTCATATTTTTCATGTATGAGGAAGAGGACTAAAATACTAAATTAAATCTACATGGACCATGGATGAGATATAATGGCACGACAGGGACCAGTGTGATGCCACCTATCACAGACAGATTGTGAATGAATAGCTTAATTTCAACGACATGGCGCTGCAATTTTGTTTTCACTGTACTATGGACCCTAACTGAAATAATAAACTAGTACCTACTAAACTAACCATTGTTAGGCCTTTGAATTTTTAAGTGTGGCTTTAGAGACTAGAAATGGATCAGTGTAATCAGAACTATTTACACTTAATCTTTATGACTTGGCTTGAAAATTGTAATCATATTTCTAGGGATGTCATTTAATAATGTTTTGCTGTGAATTTAAATTCCTTCACTACTAAAAAGACACGAATTTAATGTTTTAGACGATTTGTTTGTCCCAAAACAAAATCTGTCACACTAAACTCCTAATTCCAGTTACCGATAGTAAAACATTTAAGGGAGAGTTTATTAAAAGTTAAGCCTCCTATAAGAGTAAGATGCATGGGAACATTACATAATCAACAATTCTTATTAACTATTGCATTTTAAAACAATTGATTAACGTTAATTTTAATAGGATTCGACGATATAATTATACATGATAAAATTTGCTACCTGTGTTGAAATACAAAACAAGAAAAAGGAAGTGGATTTGTATTGATGTTCTACTTCCGCTTTAAAAAATTCAAACGTTTTCCCCTCGTTCCATTAACGAATCAAAAGTAATTAACAATTCGTCCTTTCCACTGAAAAAAAATAATCGAATTATTTATTTTTTTATTTTTTTTAATTTTTTGTCTTTCAGCTCATATTTATATATTTTTTCACAATTTTTAATTAAACAAGAACATGATTTTGCGCACGCCATATACAGAATGTCTTGAAATAAACTTAACTCACCTAGTTAGCAAGCCTGTAAAGTTGCACCGGGCCTCTTCTGGTTCACGAGAGACTTGTTTCAATGATTTTTTTTTTCCGGACAGACTCTCAAAACTTCTCATAACGACCTTACCTGAACCTTTTTCAATGCTGAGGGTATACTTTCGTGGTCACGATGGACTGTCTACATCCCTAGTGAGATAGGGGCGTGGACGAATATCCCGCCTTGAAGGGGAACAGTTCAATTAGGTATAGGTTTTTTTTTTTCTGTTGGTAGGGTGCACATCCAATCCATACCAACAGCAGCGTTCAGAGCCATCGCGTGGGCGCTGCAACCCATTCAACTTGGGGGGGAGGGGGGGGGACCAGGGATATTTATGGGGTCCAAAGTTGTGATACAAAACATTCAACTTGGGGGGGAGGGGGGGGGACCAGTGATATTTATGGGGTCCAAAGTTGTGATACAAAGGAGGGGGGGGGGCAACACCGAAAAGTGTCAGGGTGCGAACTTTTAAAAACACGCAATGGCTGTGGCAGCAGGTATCAAAGCCTATGACGTACGTTATGCTCATTCTGGTCGCAATGGTGGAGGGGGCGCACACCTTCCCTGGCTACGCTACTGCCGCGCAACACCACTGCTCCAGATGACGTATGAGGGCACAACTGAAGGACATGCCTATCGGTCTGTCCCGAGCCACAGAACCTGGGTTAGCAATTCCTTGCATTTATCACCCACCATGGTCAGTCGCAAAGATGGTGGTTTGATTGATTGGGTGCGTCTAGTGTTTTTATATCCTCTAGCTAACATTTCTGGTTGGAAGTTCCTTGCCATGGCTTTTCTACCTCATTTCTTCACGGATCGTACCTTACAGCCGAGCTTAATGCTCGCCATCTTTGATCGAATCTTATAATACATGCAAGCAGTCTCGCAGCAGAAGTGCAATGGGTAGACAGCAGAAATGCCAAAAAGGACTGAGAAATCCAAATTTCGATGTCTGACTCTACACAATAAAATAAAATAATACTTCCAACATGCAGCACAGCACCACCTCCATTCACCCAGGACCTGCGTTAGAGGGTTTAGCGAACGGGAAGTCGGCCTAAGGCGGGCCTTATATATGCGTTAGGCCCTATATATATTCAGAATTTTATTTGGCGCAGTTATCGGGAATTTTAATTCGTGAAATTAGTGTCACCATATTTCCTTCATTTTCCCCATGGAAAACACCCACAACAGATTCAGCCCCGGCGCCAATCCGATGTTTAAAATGGTTACACCCCCCCTCCCCCCCCCTAGGCCAGTCCTGATTCACTATTACCCCTGCACATAGTGGGCTACTAAACGAGGTCCAATTTCGTTCAACTTGCTCAGCTGTGGAACAAGGAATGTATAGTCATCCTGGGCATGCCATTAGACTGTATTGGTAGGCTCATAGCTCAGGCACTTCAAAGAGCCATGGTAATAAATAACTCCTTACACCACTTACACATATAAATATTAGGAGGTGGGTTGGGTGAGAGTTTGAAAGGAAACGGAAATGAATAGACACGTCCAAATATTAATGTTTGTATTTACCTATATATTTATTAAAAGATATTCCAGGAAATGCATATTGTATATTATGTATATAGTTTTATAAATAATTGCTATTTTACTTTATAAAAAATCCAACAAGAAACTAACAATCTTTTACTCTATCTTGAAAGATATCACATAAAGATGCTTGATTTGACTTTAACCGTTTTTTTCTCTTTAGGGAAAAAAAAAAACCGCTTACCATGAACTAGTTACCTATAGGCCTATTCATATAATCATGGTCAGGGTGCAACGGAAGGTCCAGTCGAACAGTCATGTCCTGGAACTTAAGCAAGTCATATAATGAAGGGCTGCACACATAAAGGGGGAGGTGGGGTAGCAGTTCCACCTAGGGCTCTCTAATTTGGAAGTGACTGCCTGCCAGTTAAATCTAAATTCAACTGCTCAAAAATGCGTTTACTAAACATAGCTGTGAGGTCCCTAAGAAAATAACCCCCTCCCCTTTCCAAACCGCCGGTGTAGTCATTTTGGAAGCAATTGCCTTGAGCGAGAGAGGTTCGGGAGGGCAGATGTAGCAGAACAATTTTTTCAGTTATAAATTATATGACCGTTTAAAAATGTGAAAAGATCTGAATAACAGTACCGAAATTTATTTTTTAAAAAAATAATAATTTAAAAAAAAACAATCCTGTTACCATGGTTACAATTACTAAAATACTGAATCCGAACAAATGCCATCAAAGTGATATAAGAAGTTATCTGATATATGCATGGAAATGTGGTGATTTATCTTTATATAGATGTTTTATATATTCATCTAAGTATTGGTGCACATAAACTAAACACCTGAACATTAAAGAAATATTACAGGAGGAAAAAACAATGTAGGGAAATTCTTTGAGCATATATTTTCATTTGCTTGATCCTCTTTAAAGTAATTACACAACTGGCAAGCATTATACACATTTGGATGGGAATAACGCTCAACGTTGTTCCCCGCCGTCCAGCCAGCCCATAAAAAGTTTATGACTACATCTTGCGATAAAAAAATGAATGTAGCGAAATTATCAGCTGTATGGAAACTATAATTTGTTTTAATTTCAACAGACTTTACTGTGATGGCACTATTATTATGCACAGTCCACTGGCAATAATGCTCAACGTTATGCCCAGCCAATAAACGGTTTACTTCCACTAGCTAAAAGTTATTCCCAGCTGATTGTGGATAACCATTCCGATCTTTTATTTCACATGGGAGAAAATTGTTCTCTACCCAGGCTCAAAAAACATTTCTCTCAGCAAAAAATATTTACTAGGCATTGTCTGTGGCACCAATAACATACATTTTTTAGTTAATTACACATATCCCCGTACAATATGAGTGTTGAGTTCCCTATTTATATGTGTCAATAGATATCAAGTTAAACAGAACATGAAAAAAAGCATACAAATAGATCATAAATGATAAATATACATACAAAACTGCCATAATAACAAAGTTTCTGTAACAAAAAAAAACCACAAAAGATTTTTTAGTAAAATGCAAAATACTGATGGAATCTTGAAAATCTCCTATATAAAAATGAGGACATAAAAAAAAAAATTATGCTGACTGACTTCTTAGGGTAGGAATTCCCCTACACAGGCAAACACATAGTAGTTTTTCCCCTCCAAATATAAAAGAATTGGCCAACTTCTCATTGATTAGAAATAACTTAAACTTAAACAATAACAACAAAATCAATATATATATAGTGCTTAATTTGTAATCTATTTCGTGGATTACATGAAATATTCAATTAAAGAAGAAATAGACAGTACATTTAATGTTTATATAGTGGGGTGGGCATTGAGGATTACTGACGTGGGTCATAATAGTTGTTATCTTATAAAAATGTGTACAGCAAATACAAATTACCGGTACTTTATACATATAATTTTCAAACAAATACATCTCACAATAATATTATTATTGCACGTAGTAAATCCTATTTATAATGACACAGCAGAGAATAACCCAGGCATTCACCATTTTAAAAGAGGTACCTGTAACAATGTTACCAATTTCAATTCAAAATAGATTAGTTACGTTAATTAATGTATGATTATATTTACATGAAATAAATAGAAATAATAAAGATATATGGAAACTGAACAAATAAATTTTAACGATGTCTTCGCTTCGTAGGTGTTCAAAAAGATGTATCGTCCCTTAAAGTCTAATAAGACTTGTATTATCTCTTCAGTGGTTCTAAATCTGGCGCTAGCAGCAGCAGATCAAAGCATGGGCACATCAATACAGATCAGAGTCTGCCAGGGGTTTATCTGGAATAACAGAAACAGAAATTTAATTGGAAATATAAGCTTCAACAATAAGATTTACCTTTAAGGAAGATGAATTTCACTAACACTATTTCTTTTCTATCTTTTTAAAGCGTATTTAAGAATTAAATAAATCAACAAAGAAGTATGAAAAATTTAAATCCTGCAACTGTATCTTGTCCAACATAAATAAAGCAGAATTCAACAAGATTATTGGGCAAGAATTCTACCTCTGTCACCAAAGAAGTCTGGGTCAAGGTCAGGGCCCTCGGAGCTTGTGCTGAGTGCAGACACTAGCTTGCTTGTCCAGGAGCCGTAACCAATGTCTACAGATGTAGAGTTGCTCATTCCCCTTGCAGCATCTTGATTCCCTTCTTCACCCTCTTCTCCTGGTAAACTAACATCGGATATTTGATTCTCCAACTGTCGTCTTTTATATTCCTCATCCTTAAAGAGTAGATTTCACTGCGTTAATAATAATTGAAGACCAATTCTTGTAACAATATTTTCACATCCATCCAATTTTAGTAACATGTTCACAAAAGGTTAAAGAGTGTTGATGGTAAGAAATATTATTTAGCAATAGTAATATAAATATGTGTCATATACAGTTGGTACAACAAATTTATGCTGATGATTATATGGGGGTGCAGTATATCTTAATTTTTAAAGGCATCTAACTTATTCAGCTCTGGTGATGCATTGATTTTCTCAAGTATTCGCAAAGTTCTTCAAATCCGGAGATCATACCTCCAAAATCCTTTGAGTTTTCCTCAGGCTTTCGGCAACCTCCTCCTGGCTCAGATACTCTTGCTCTGCCTCGGTGGTAAGTCTGGGGAATGTTATTATTAATACCATTAACCAGAGAGCTGTTTAATTTAATCGAATTCAGTTTAACTTTGTCAGCTAACCTCTTAGCGTTACAATACTAGATTTGAAATGCAACACTTGGATTCTCAAGATTTGGTGTACATCTTTTCCTTTTCATGCTTGATCTTCTGACTTCACACTCGTTTTTTAAATAAACACTTTTATTACTGTGCATCTGTTACAATGATTACTTCAATTTTTTATTTTTTTTGTGTTTTTTTTTTGTTTTGTTTTAGCAGCATGATACATGCATGCATTTTTAAAAGAGAAACCGAGTGGAGCTTTATTTTTGTCCGACCACTTCAGCTTCCAGTCAATTTATAATAAATAATAGGTTTCGGTTCGATTCTTGTTTTTTTTATTTAAAAGTGTAGCCTATAATTTATTTACTTTTCGAATATGTTTGTATGTATGTAATGATTGTAACAGATGATTATTACTTTTGGTTCATACAGATTAAGATTACTGTAAACTTAATGGTCTAAGCAAGGATTAAATCACTGAAAGCTAATTTAAGAGGATGATTTTAATTTAAACTAGGGATTCCTAAGGGATTAAGTATTATTTTTTAATACACTTTCAGTTCATTTCCTCACATCCAAGCTTTCATTTTTAGTATATTACCAAGACTTTCAATTAAAAAAAGGAACCTAACAAGAAAACCATCATAGCACTTAGTCTAAGAAATAGTTTCTAGTTTGGTTGACCAAGGATTATTCACTTTGTATAAATTTCAGTACAAAGTGCTAAAAGAAAACCAAAGATATCAGTTTAGAATGTTCCCTGTTCCCTCCAAATCTTTTATAAACCCACCAAGCAAATAAATGAAAGAATGTACTCTCTGCACATACCTGTCAAAGTTGGAGGCTTGCAAATATCGCAGGTCATCATCAGCATTGTCATCATCTGGGCTGTCCATGGGGTCAAGGAAGGAGATGTAATCGACTTGGATATCTGGAACAGACTGCCTGTCCTGAGTTGAGCTTTTGGAAAGGAATGGCCTCGACAGGTTGTCCTTTGTGTGAACTGCACTGTTCACATTCATTGGGTCTCGTTTCATTTCATCTAAAAATTTATCGATTGATGTTTTTTTCTGAAATTTCCCATCGAGATTTGAGCTTGGCTTAGAGAAATGATTTGAAAGTGGATCTTCGTGTAGTACCCTCATCACTTCCATTTCATCTAAGGCTTTATAATCTGTTTCCATGTCGTCAATGAAATGAAGGGATGGTCTCACAGTCAAATCTTTCAGTGAGGTCGAAGGGTGAAGAAATGAAGGAGAAATGAAATTTCGACTAGGGAAGAAACTCAAGCTCGCTGGTCTGGGTGGTGCCGACAGGGGAATTTCCGAATCATTCAATCGATCATGATGAGAAAAACGATGGCCCATTGAAATGATTTCTGAGTCTGAGCTTGGTTTAGATTTGGATAATGCTGGATGCTCCTTTTCTTGCCTGCTGGATGCATAGCTAGTCCCAGGGTCTTTTTCTTGCCTGCTGGATGTGTAACTAGACCCTGGGCTAATGGATTCAGAATCTGACCAATTTTGATTTCTCTTGCTTTCTTCCTCAATTACCACAACAGGTTTAGAAGCATCAGTGTCTGATGCATTACGAAACGTCCCATCCCTTTTGACTTGTGTCCCTTTCTTTGGCGCCTCCCATGGCATCCGGAAGACAGGCTGAACGTTCAACTCTGAAATGTACCTTTCCTTGAGATCTGTGCTGGCTCTGGTAACATCCAGGGAATCTGGCTGATAAAACTGATGGGTCGTTGGTTGTGGGTACATGGCGTTCAACTCTTCCATAGACTTGGCTAGGCTCTTTTTCATTCTCAGCACAGAATCCACAGGTCGCTCTTTGGTCAAAGCTTCAGTGTGGTAGCTGTCACCTGCTCTCTTACTCGCCTGAAACTCATAAGGTCTGAGATCCATTGTGGATTTTGAGAATTTCCCTAGATTGGGCATGAGCTCCGCTGCACTGTAGTCGGGTTCTGATCTCATGCTCCCTTCTGAGATTAGTTCCGAAACCCTTTTCAGTTTTTCAGTGTTGTCCAAATTGCTGGCTGATATCTCCCTAATCATCTTGACCAGACTGTCATATGGATCAGCACAATCTGTCGTATCGATCCCTGACTCTTCCTCCTCTTCAAACATATTCCCGGCTCCTGTTTCCTCAAAGCTTTCGTTGCTTCCGAATATGAACATCTGCGCTGCATTTGTAGGAATTTCTTTTGGGGTGAAGGTTAGCCGAATGAACCTCTCTTCAAGATTTGAGGGGGAGTCGGAAACTGACATGCCTTGTCTAGCATTGGGTTTCTTAAGATTAGCATTCAGAGACTGGCTGGAGAATCTTGACGAAGATGGTGGCTCTGGTTCAGGTAGGGCCTCTTTCACATTCAAGGCTGAACTTCCCTGTAATCCATAAGAATCCTCATTGCTAACATCTGTTTTATATTCTCTTTGGAAGAACTGAAGGGAATCTGAAGCCTCCTCATCAAAGCCAGGTTTCTGCCTGCGTTGTAACATTTCAGATGGATCAGAAAATGCAAGGTCTTCATAGCCAAAGTCTGCTCTTCGAGGTGTGGCATCAGATTCCTTTGTTGGGCTGTGTATTTTCCTAGGCAACGCCCTGGCTCTTATCATGTCTGTGCCAGTACCTGAATTCCCAAGGGCCTCTTGCTGTGCACTTGCAACTGCTTTTTCATAGTCAAAAACACTTCCATCGGTGCTGGAGCTGTTGAAATTAAACTCAACACTCTTGGCCCTCAACAGGTTCCTTGCTTGTGTTTTCCTCTGTGGTGATTTGTCTGAAATTTTCACGGCTTCAGAACCAGGCACAGAAGGCTTAGCTTTCCTTATTGGCAAAGTCAAATGTTTGGCTTGAGCTTCCTGGTCAAGAGGTGAGGGCTTTTTAGCTCTGATCCCTTTCTCAAGTGTCCTGTTCAAGCTTGCAGCGTTGATGGCACTTTTTGTTTTTTTTAGATCAGGATCTTTGGGCATTACGCTGTGGTCATCAAGGAGTTTTCCACCTCTGTGATTCTGCATCGTTTGACTCTTCTCCTTGGTGAGATTTGTTGGGTGGTGAGCTGTTGGGGATTTTTCAACATGACCCACCCCAAGGAGCTCAGCCCTCCATCCCATAACGGCCTTGACTAGACGAATAGGAAGGCGTGAATTGGATAAAACTCGTTGGATAAGACGTAATCTGAAAGTTAAAAGTCACACAGACTGTAAAGAATTTTTCTTCCCAAAGATTTTTAAGACTTAAAAATTCAATTTTTAAATTTCCTTCAGTTTTGAAAGTCCCATTAGCCCAAGAGCATGAATTTCCAACTATATCTTGAAATAAAGCAACCATTTGAGAATTCCTGGTTTATGAATAAATGCAATAAATATTTCAACAAATGTTAAAATAAATGTTTGCAACAGCGTATATAGCAATTGTATACCTTAATGCCAATGACCTGGACTGAGCTCTGAGCTTTCTGTCAACCAGTTGGGGTATGCTCTCATCCAGCCTCTCTATGTGCTCCTGTCTGGGTGGTGGGTGGCGAGACAGAAACACTCTGACGGCACCAAGCCATTCTTTAATAATCAAGTTTATAGAATTCTTTGGATAAGTCTTTTGAAAGAGTCGATGACAATTTTATAAGAATTATTAGTTAAGTCTATACTTTTGAAATTGTTTAAGTTATTTTTTTAGTATCCCAATTCATAAAATTCTTGAGATAAACCTTTTCGTAGTTATCATACATCATAACTGAGAATTTTCTGCTACAGGGCTGAAATGTGCCTTAAAATAAATTTAATTGTATTTACAATCCACTAGTATATTTTGGTGACATTCTTATGTTCTTGGCAATAGAACAAAATTTTCCATTATTTATTACCAGAGAATAGTAATGAAATACATTTTTTTTTTTAATTTTTAAAACATTTGTTGCTAAAAAATAAAATTGTAATAACAAAATAAAGTTGTAATAACAAAATAAAGTTGTAACAACAAAATTTTAATAAAATAAAGTTGTAACAACAAAATTGTAACAAACTAAAGTTATAGCAACAAAATTGTAACAAAATTAAGTTTTAACATATTAAAGCGGTAAGAAAATACAGTAGATCCATAATGGAATGTGTTAGTAAAAATTCCTGTACCCACCAGCAGGCATGTATACTATGACCTCTCTAGCCTCAGGTGAAAGGTTATAAGATGAGAGGTCAAATCTTGAAAGTTCAGGATCAGTGGTGCACCTGTCAAGCAGGGACTCAGGTAGGAACTTGAGGACCTTCTTGTACCAGGCCAAGGCCTTTTGGGTTGGAACAAAAAGGTATTAAGCTAGTTGTGTAAAAGTTTCCCCAAAATTTAATAGCATTAAAGCAATACAACTGTGATAAACATTTGGAAAGCTGGGGTTCAAATCACTCTTCGGTTGAAAACAATTGTATGTGACAACCTAACATTGATCTTCACAACTTTGTTTGTATCTTTATATATTTTATTTGTACCTTAAGAGTTGACAAAATGTTTAGAGAGGGACATGGGCTAATAAAACTGATTGGTGGGTCTTTGGACTGTGGGCAAAACCAACAACAGGTGCATCTGAACTCACTGATGTGCCTAAAAAATGTTCACTGCCATGTCGTAAGGTTTTGTTTAAAAGTATAAATTTCTGATTTTTAAGACTTTTAACTTAAAAAAGTATATCATTATCATATATGACAAAAAATATGACAAACAGTGGAATCAAAACCTGCACAAAGTGTAGTTAAATTACCCTTAGCTAACATGAAGTATCCGGTATAGGGTTATTCAAAGTAAGGTTGGGGTTGGGGGGCTCTGAATAATGTAATTCACCTTATCTAATAAGAATAATAAAAATACTATCATTTAAATAGATATTGCTCAGCATAGACAGGCAACATTTTTTTTAGATACTCATACAGTGTGTTCAATAATTTCAGGCTTAGTACGTTGTGTGATAAAATTTTTAAAAAGATTGAAACAGCTAAAATACAGTACCAAAATCTAAAAAAATAAAAAATAAAAAAACCTGTGTGATATAGATCTATACCTTTTCAAAAAGCAGATGAAAAATATGTAGTGTCACATAAAGCTGCTGCAGGTGCTGGAGTTGCTGTGTAAATGGCTGGATGCTTGTGGTCAAGCAGTTGGTGATGTCGGTGATGTCCAGGCCATTAACAAATGTGGTGTACTGACCGGCAGATGCCACACTTGTCCCTACTAGGGCTACTCCATTCTTTAACTTTTGCACAGCCTCGAGAATCTCTGTGGCCTGGCTCAGCAGTTCCTGAATTTTAGATTTATCTCATCAGTAATAATAGAAGTAGATAGTGTTTTTTGTCTTTATCAATGAAGTATTAGTACATTATAATCAATCATGAATTTAAAGCTATAAATAACTAAAAGAGGTGACAAACATTTTTTAACAAAGTGAAAATACAGTTTTTAAGAAAATTTCAATAAATTAGTATTTTAAAAAGCGGGACAATTGTGGATGGCTTGGAGATATGGACCAACAAAGGATGAATATGGATGGAGAATATGAACCAACCAGAAATTGTATAGTCTTTATCAGGATCCACATGGGTAGTAGAAATAAAAAGTGGCAGGCTACACTGGGTGGAACACATAAAATGACGGAGGAGTGAAGAGGGTGCACCACCCAAACCGCAGAGGAAGACAGCTCAAAGGCAGACCTAGGCTTATATGGTTTTATGATGTAGAAAATGATCTACAGCAGCATGGAAAAGAAAAGCATTACTTAGGTCTGCCTGGAAGGAAAGGGTGAGGAAGCCCTACATGGGCTGTAGCGCCACAGGAATGGATGGATTGGAGAACTATGATAATGATAAAAAAACTCTGACACATAGCACAAGTTACATGTGTACAACATACAAACCTTTGCAGGTTCATATAAAGTGGTAGTGAAATGTGCTCTGTATAACTCTGCCTGACTCAATGTCTTCCCAACTATGGGATGCTCCTGAAGCAGTGGAAGATAGTGTTGGCATATCTTTCGCTCAATCTATTCACAAGAAAGAATGACCAGTACATCTTATTCAAATTATATGATCTAAAGAGATAAGATAGCATACTTCATTTTTAATTACACTTGTTCGAATAAAAAAAATTAGTAAAAAATCAAAAACAGTTTTAAGAAAAAAAAGTTATAAAGACAATCTAAACAAAATCTTCTAATAAAAATGATTGTATTTGTAAAAAATTTAGGTTAGCTCATTATTTACAGCAGAAATCTGTTCTATATGTTAGTATTTTGTCAATATAAGTCTAAAGTGTAAGTATTCACCTACTTCTTTCACTCTCTCTCTATGTCTGTGTAGCTGTATGAGTACTGTCAATCTGTGCTCTGTCATTCTCCATGTATCTTCAAGGTCAGTGTTCCAGTTATTCAGTTCAGAGTAGAGGCCTCTCAGGTGCTTCCTAAAACCCTCAACCAGTTCTGGGTGCACAGCAGAAATGTGGCTGTCTGAGGATGGGTGGTCCAGCAGAAAAAGTGTTTGCTTGCTTTGCACCAGGCACAAAGGTAGGGAAGACTCACTGGGGAACAGTTAAAAATATAAGATATTTATCTAATGGAGTCAGATAAACCATGGGTCCCCAACCACCAGTCTTCATCCTATTAAGAACTGGGCAGTAAGATGGCATGAAGCAAGTGTTTTTTGCCCTAAAATCAAAACGCCTGATCTGTGGAAATTGTCTTCCACCAAACCGGCAACTGGTGAAAAAAAAAAGGTTGCAGACCTCTGGAATAAAGTGTGAAGTGGAATCTCTCAGAAATGGAGGCCTACTTTTAAGATAGGAAATTACTAAATAAGGGAAGGGGGATGGGGGGGGGGGGAGTAGACAAAACCAAAAAAAAATTGGAAAAGGACGCAGTCTTCCTTCTGCTAGGGGGATTTAAAGAAAAGCTTTTGCTAGCAAAAAAAACCAAAAAAAAGGTTGCAGACCTCTGGAATAAAGTGTGAAGTGGAATCTCTCAGAAATGGAGGCCTACTTTTAAGATAGGAAATTACTAAATAAGGGAAGGGGGATGGGGGGGGGGAGTAGACATAATCATAACAACATTGGAAATGGACGCAGTCTTCCTTCTGCTAGTGGGATTTACAGATAAGCTTTTGCTAGCAAAAAATACCATGCTGAAGTTGGATTCTCTGGGCCAACTTGGTGATGTAAAACAAGTTACAATTAACCATAAAATATTTACAGCTACTAAAAAAAAAATCATAAACAGGAATTTGTTTTTTAAAATATTATAAGCCCAACAATAAATGCCGATGTTGTTCAATTTTAACTTTTTAAAATCATCTCTGATTTTCATTTATCAGACAAGAATTAGAATTTGCAGACTATGCAAACACAGCACGTCTCCAAAATGGAGAAACTGCAACTCTAATCAAGGAATCAGTCATGTGTCTTGTGGGTCATAAAGTAAGTATTTGGATGTGAATATCTCCTTACGAGATAATAATATGGAACTTTTCCATGAGGTCTGCAAGGAGATGCTGCAGCTGGTTTGATGTTTGACCATCCGTCTCATACTCTTGTAAAAGCTCCACTCTGTCTTTTACACTAGGAAGTTTGGTGAGAAGATGTTGGCAGCTTTCAATGCACTTTATGACAACCTGGCAATGCAGGATTGAAATTTGATGATTTTTTTTCATTTCAGTGTTATCGAGAAACATTGTAAAGTGCATGTTACTAAAATATACCAGGATAAATTATAAATTTAATAACATTTAGTAAGTATTTATTTTAAAATATTAATTTTTTAATGAGCTGCAATGATTGAAAAATAATGAAATCAACTGATAGGAAACTAAATTCACATATAAATACACAGATCAGTTGTTCTATTTAAATGAAACTACTATACAGGATCTATTGCCCTACTGGCTTAAAAATGTTCCTTAAATATTCAGAATATCTCATAGCATACAGCTTTATCAATAAGATATGAAGTAAATTGTTTTTAAAAAAAAAAAAAAAAAAAAAAAATTTTTTTAAATTTTTTTTTAAAATAAAGCTTTATCAATAAGATATAAAATAAATTATTTTTAAAAAAAAAAAAAAAAAAAAAAAAGTATTTTTTTAACATTCTTTCTAAAATACCTCAACTTATGGATAGTTGTTGTAGTAAATATGTCTACAAAAGACGGCTATGGTTAATTACATTGTAAAAATGCATCCACGCAAGATGATTGTACTGCAGGGTGCCATAAAAGTCGAGTGTGAGCTGAGATACATCAATCTGTGTGTGCAGTTCTTGTAGGGTTTTAAACAGCACAACCTTAAAGAGAAAGAAGTGGATTTTTTTCAAATTTTCATATCAACATTTTAATTTTATATTACAAATTTGTAAACATTTAAATCTAAATCGATTTTATAGATTTTTATTAGAATTCTCTTCTATATCTTTTCATAAAATCATTACTTTTAATAGATTTTGCTCAGAAAATCACCCTTCCTAATTATCATTTCATAAATCGCCGAATAATGAACAAAAAATACCTTAAATAATGGTATCTTGGGTTTTGTTTTGCTTGGTTTTACACCAAGTAATTTTTTTAGCATATGAGACTTGCTCTTCTTCTTGGGGCTTAAGAAGTAAACTGTGCTGAAAGTACCACGGCTTTGGTGCTGTTTAGAAGATTGGTATGAAAAAAGGTAGGCCTTTACAGTACTTAATCTATAACTAAAATACATAAATTAGGTGATATTATTGTGAACTCATCTATGCTCAACAAAGCTCACGATTACAATTTTTAAAAGTAAAAGATAAACATTTTAAAATTGTATTATTCAGTGAAAAACAACTGCGTGGAACCAGTAAAATATTAAAAAATTACTTCCTAAAGAGAAAATAAAATTAAAGAAAATTTATATCAATGTAACATTATTAAGACAACTTGAAATAGCGGTGTGTTTAAAAATAAATACTTTTTTCAACTGGTTTATAAAATATACCAGTCAATATAATCATTCTGTACATCTTTTTAATTAACTGCATTAAAATAAAGATACATTTTATTATTTTTACCTCGACACCTTCTAAAATTTCTACAAGTTTTGTGATGATAGCTGTTGATGCCTGACGCAGATCCGCCAAGCATGCCAGTGGCAAGGTATGATATGCTGCAAAAGGGTTGTCCTTTGAAGACATCAAACATTTGGAAATCTTTGCCAGGTGCAAGATCAAACCAGACAATTTCACTGCACCCCATTGTGTTATATCTAATAACTTTGTTGTAGGGATAGTTAATAAAATGTTTCCGTTGACATCATGACTACCTGATGAAAATTACAAAAGTTAGTCGTTTATCTTATTTATTGTATCAGAAAGAGATACTTTAAAACTTCTTTCCACATTGCTCACTTAACACCTGCCCACATAATTGATTACTTCAGAGGTTCCCAAACTTTAAATGAAAGTTTGGCGACCAGAGGATAAGCTTACCACTCCACCTGGGACCAGTGCCAGATTTTTATCTTTTTATTTGACACTAAATGACCTCATGTCTTAAAAATTATTTTTTTAACTGTGATCAGCCAATGCCAGAAGACACTATAAACGTTTACAATTTAATCATAATTTAATGCTATAATTATTTTTTTTGTTATGGCTATTTTATCCAGTTTATTATCTCATGTTGAGTGGACCTGCGGGTAAGGCTTTTGGACCAGTCTGCATACAACTATGGGAAACAGTGGATGACTTCACAAAAGGACAGCTGCATAGATAGACAACTGCACTCAAATTAAAATCATAGAAATATTTAGTACCAGGTATATTATTATAACATATATTTTTTAAATGTGAATTTTTAAACTTTTTGTCATTTGTGGGATCAGGAGTGAAGATATCCTTCATTTCACAATTCATATCATATTTAATTTTTACAAAATCTTTTCAAACTTTGACTCAAAGGCTATACTATTATGTGTTGCTATGATTATCAGTGAATCTCATTATGTAACAACATTTATTTTTAATGGTACTTTTAGTTAAATAAGATAGGGGCTGGCTAAAGCATAATTTAAATTATTGAATTATTAAATTATAAGCATACAAGCATCCACAGTATTGGTCACATGACTATTTTGTATAATTTACTTTTAAAGTTTTTTAAAATAAAATATTTAGGTAATTAGACTAACTTATTAGATTTAGATGAACACTGATTAGCAAGGGTACCATATAATTTTAATTAAAATTTAAATGGACCTAAAATATTTTATTATAATTTTTAAATTATAAAATTTTTCTAGACCAAGATTTAAAAAAATATTACATAATATATATTTAGAAATATAATATAAAGGAGTCTGCCCTTCAATTAGAAAATTAGAAGTGAGAAATTGCATTTTACACACAAAAAAAATTTTTTAGTCACAATTTATTTGTTTAGGTTATTTAAAAAGCTGTCCACAAAATATTTTTTTTCTTAATCTAGTTGAATATTAACTACCAAGACTTCACTTACTTACAACAACCCCCCCCCCCCAATGAAATAAAATAAATAATTAAATAATGTTTTCATGGTATGATTTTATGATAAGAAAAAAAATTTTTTAGTCACAATTTATTTGTTTAGGTTATTTAAAAAGCTGTCCACAAAATATTTTTTTTCTTAATCTAGTTGAATATTAACTACCAAGACTTCACTTACTTACAACAACCCCCCCCCCAATGAAATAAAATAAATAATTAAATAATGTTTTCATGGTATGATTTTATGATAAGAAATCTAATTAAAATTTAAACGTAATTATTTAATAATTACGGTATGTAGGCCTAAATGAACTAAATGTAAGCCTATAGGCTATAGTAGGCTATGTCCAGTAGGTCTACTAATATATTTGTCTGACTCAAATTAAAATTCTTATTATCTATCATTGACCATTACCGGTATTAATTAAATTATCAGTATCAGTAAAAAACAAAAATAGTAGACTTAGTAGGACCTAATAAATTAAATAATAATGATTATTTATATTTATGTTTCCAAAACTTGTCTTTAAAATTAAAAAGAGTCATAAAAATAATAATATAAGATTGAATAATGTCTACATTATCAATGATTTTCCACATGCATAGGCCTAATCAGAAAAATCTTTAAAATATATTATTATTATTATTACTTTAAATTTTAGAATACATTTATAGACACAGTACAGTTCGCACCTTCGAATCGTCGGGTCTCGCCCTCAAAGTTTCTAAAATTTAGCCGATTTCCGGTCAAATTAACTTATTTTTACCCCCACCCCCTTTTTTCATTTTTTTTTTTTGGGAGGGTGGGGGAGGTCCTCATTGTTATAGGTGACTAACAGTATTGTCATAAATAAAATGTCATAGAGCCCATCTTAGCCCCTTCACACACTAATCTGGCACCCGGGACGATATTATGTCTCCCCTCTGCCCTACTTAGAAACGCCCCCGAGCACATGTAATTAAATTGTTCAACATAAATGTAGCCAATTTTTTTTTTTTTTTTAAATCGCACACATAGCTCTAAGATAATGACACAAATCTCTTTCCATCATTTTTTTTGTTTGTTTGTCGGGACACATTTCATGTTGTAGGCTGGTAGTCATGAAAAATTGGGCTATTCATAATAGTTGGCTAATTATTACAATCAATTAGTAATTAGTTCTAGAACTATGCATCCAATTGCGTACTATAATTTAATGTTTTAATTCATAAAAAATAAAGGTTTTATAATTAATTTTAAAGGCGCAAATGATAAATTTAGAAAAAAAAATTAAAAACGTGCGGAATTATTTTTTTACAATAAGAGATTTCACTTATTTGAATAATTCCTAGCTTACCTGTCAAAATTACAATGCCACTCTCGATGGCGTCATCTTTCTCATTTTCGTCAAGCATCGCCGACAATCCGCGACTGTGGTGAGATAACCCGAATATAGAAACTGTATTTCAAATTTCATCGCTCGCTTGACTTCGCAGTCTTGCTCTTTGCTAAACTGATGTAGCCAATGTAGCAGCAACGATGTCACCGATCTTGAAATCAATTACTTTTTTTCATCATAAAGTGGGAATACTCCGACACATTTCATTCTTGATTAAATTCTTTTATATATGTATATCACACATTGTGTCTTTTTGTCTGCTACAGCAAGTTTATCAACTAAAATAAAGATTTAGGAGATTATCAGTTTCCCAGGATCTAGTGATACTAGTGATAGGCTTACAAATTATAATATTTAAAAAATTGGGGTCTTTTTTTTTTATAATCATCTCCGCCGACTTCGGCCTAGAGTTCATCCTATAAAATTAACCCTCCCCTTATCATGGTTAATGTTTAAAAAATGTATTACTTTTTATTTTTGACACAAGGTAGTATTTTATAGATAGGCCCTATGAATATAAAGTTACAGAAATATGGTGAACTTTATAAAAATATAGGCTTACTTGGCAATTTCGCCCCCATCCCCAAGCATATCACCCTCGCCCCCCCCCCCCCCCACCCACCCCCCAAACGAGCATTTACTTTTCGAAGTGGCTACTCGTACCCGGGTACCAGAAGTGAGAGGTTGGGATTTAAAAACTATTTAAAATATAATTGTTGGGTTTGTAAGACAAAATGAGGTATCAACTGAAAGATAATTGAATGGACTATAAGTTTGTAAACTTAATTCTTCAGTTTAACTAAAATAAACTACCACAAATGACATCCGAATAGCACTGAGTCGAAATGGACCCAGACACGCAGCGCCGCCATTCGCACCCGGGTACTAAGGTTCGGTAGCTTAGTCAGCGCATTTCTAATAATTTTTTTAAAAAATTGACCCCAGGTGAGAGGTCAACGGTTGTCAAAAGTCGGCTGTGGTGACCTCTCCTCTCAGACCATTGTCAGTTACATCAATGAGACATATCGGACAATGTCCCTATACCCACTAACTTGCCCCGACCTAAGGCCAACTGTTGATTGTTCTCAGCACAGCAGCCGTCCCAACACTTGACGCATAGGGGCAACACTAACTGCTTAATAAATTACCACCACACGGCAACAATCTGGGGCGGAATAACAACATTTACACCCCCAGAATGGTCTGAGGCTATTTTGTTTTTAGTGGAGGAATAAAGCACAGCAACAAGAGCAATAAAAAAAAACATCGTGAGCAACAAAACACACAGGAGCAATAAACAACATAAGGAGCAATAAACAACACAAGGAGCAATAAATAATACAAGGAGTAATAAACAACGCCAGGAACAGTAAGCAACACCAGGAGCAATAAACAACACCAGGAGTAATAAACAACACAAGGAGTAATAAACAACACCAGGAGCAATAAATAATACCAGGAGAAATAAACAACACAAGAAGTAATAAACAACAAATGGAGCACTAAACAACATCAGGAGCAGTAAACAACGAATGGAACAGTCAACAACACCAGGAGCAGTAGACAACGCATGGAGCAATAAAAACACCAGGCGCAACAATCAACCCCAAAAGCAATAAAAACATGTAGAGCAAAATAAACAACACCAGGAGCAATAAACAACACAAGGAACAGTAAAAAAAAAACCACCATGAGCAGTAAACAAAAACATGAGCAGTAAACAACAAGAGTAAAAGCAAACACCACCACCGAGAGATATCAATAGTTAAAACGAGATCACATTTTAAATAACCCATTTCTAACTGCCACTCGATCACTGAGTCAGGGACCATATTTCAACAGCTCTAATATTGTTTTTAAAGTAGGGCTCATTATTATAAAAAAATGTTGGAGTCGCCAAATTGTAAGAGGCTGCTTGGGCGTTGGAAAACAAACGCAGAGAAAATGCAGTTAGCTCTGTTTCGCTAAGCAACAACAGACCTCTAACGAACAGGGAGAGAATCTATACAAGTGGCGTCATCCTATGTTTGGTCCACATCTTAAAGTCTTAAAGAGAAGAGGGTAGCCCACTGTTCTCTGTGAGCTGATTATTAAAATTAAAAAACAGAAACTAGTATATTTACAAGTGACAGGATCAAAGTCTGCACGAGCAGTGGGCGCAACCAGAGGCGTCTACCCCCCCCCTTTCTGAGTGGTGGAAGTCTCTTCCCCCCCCCCCCACTCAAGACCTTGGACTTGGTAAATTTTGTAAGGTGGGTCATGACAGTCACCGCATTCGTGGTTAATTCGGGAGATTATTAAAATTAAAAAACAGAAACTAGTATATTTACAAGTGACAGGATCAAAGTCTGCACGAGCAGTGGGCGCAACCAGAGGCGTCTACCTCCCCCCTTTCTGAGGGGTGGAAGTCTCTTCCCCCCCCCCCACTCAAGACCTTGGACTTGGTAAATTTTGTAAGGTGGGTCATGACAGTCACCGCATTCGTGTTTAATTCGGGAGTTCACTTTGAATAATAGTGGTAGGTCTATACAAATGTATGGTTTAAACAAAAATGTTAGAACGCTGTTCATTTTCAATAATAGTATCGATAACAAACTATTTCACATTTTTCAGAAAATTAAATTATTATATCAAGTGATTATTCGAATAATTTATTTGAGTGGGCCTACACGTTAAATGTTCGTTTTAATGTTGAACATTGATAGATAGGTCGAGATTTAAACCTCTCACCCTACTCAGATTGGAAGCACCTGCTTCCCCCCCCCCCACTCTGCGTAGACGCCCCTGGGCGTAACTGTCTCTGGGGATCACGGCCATGATTTAATAAGGTGGGTGAAAAAGGGGGGGGGGGGGCCCGCGGCAATTTCAGAGGGGCACAACAAACCCCCTACTCAGATTGGAACCCCCTGCTTCCCCCCCCCCCACTCTGCGTAGACGCCCCTGGGCGTAACTGTCTCTGGGGATCACGGCCATGATTTAATAAGGTGGGTGAAAAAGGGGGGGGGGTGGCACGCGGCAATTTCAGAGGGGCACAACAATCGTGTTTAGATAGGGAATTCAGAGGGGCACAACAATCGTGTTTAGATAGGGAATTCAGAGGGGCACAACAATCGTGTTTAGATAGGGAATTCAGAGGGGCACAACAATCGTGTTTAGATTGGGAATTCATAGGGGCACAACAATCGTGTTTAGATAGGGAATTCAGAGGGGCACAACAATCGTGTTTAGATTGGGAATTCATAGGGGCACAACAATCGTGTTTAGATTGGGAATTCAACAGTAAAAACAGCAAGCGCTTTACAAAGACAATGGGCGAAAAAATCGTATTTAAATGTTCCGCCAAGCGGCTCTATTTTCAGGCTTTTAAATTATAAACATGATATAGATGAAATGAATATGTCTCAGTGAAATTATTAAGCCTTTTTTTTTTCCTATATCAAATTTACCGTCAGTGGATACTACTGGTTATACGTTAACTTTAAAACAACACGAGGGTCAAACTCTCATTGGAGCCGCTTGAGATGAGAGTTCAGATTATTTATAAATATAAGTTGAATGTACACATTGTTAGCGCCATCGTATTGCGTGGGTATGTTCTGCTTAGACTTTTTAAAGAAATATTTTATTATGGTCAAAACGATTATTGCTGGCCTACCTGACTCACACTCTCCGTTTATGATCCCAAACATAATACCTGAGTATAATAATATAGGCCAAATATTGGGCCTACTTTGTACACTGAAGACCCTTAACTCTGATAGAAAATAAACACGAACAGTCCTATAAAGCAGTCTTCTCCGGGTTAAATGAGAGCACTGGAAATTTAATTTAAAAAAATGAAATATTCCAAAATAAAAGTGACGAAAGAATCCAATGCGTAAACACGAAGTTACTCCAATGTCATGGAAATGCTCACACAGTCCAGCCAGGGAGACAACAGCATGAGACGCGCGGTTTCGCTACAACTACAAGTCAACACACACCGACTCATTCGTACACGACCCAACAGCGGTAACAGATGGTTGGCCTGGTTCAGCTCGGCGGCCAAACTCCAATATACAGTGGTGTAATATACCACATCTGCCCACAACCACTCCTCAACACACACACACACACACACACCCTGCTCATAAATGAATCAATGTATGTATAGCCTAGCAAATTAAAAAAAAAAAATAGCAGATTATGTTACTACGGCGATCAGTGTCATGCAGGCTGCTTACCACCACTAATCTAACTGGTTGGCAGGTTCAGGTGGGCACCTCGTCACGTGCGCACAGTTATCATTTTCTTATAGTATACTTTGTATACAATATGCAACAGTGATATTTTTTTCGTAAATGATACAGTGTAACAACAAAATCGATGAAATAAAGTCATAACACAAGTATAATTTATTTAAAAAACTTAAGTTCAATTTTTTTAAAACCAAACATTTGTATTTAAAAAAAATAAAAAATCTCCTCTATACATTTTCACCGACATTCCAAAGCTAATTTTTGCGTGTTACGCCGTGTTCACCCTACTCCCTAATTATAGTCGTGTTTATCTGTTCACACGATGACGTATATTCTCTGGAAGCTGCGGGGAAAAAAAGCATGGGCAAATGGAGCGTCAACTATCATCTCCAAAGGGAACATCACATAAACGATTCAGCTTTGTACCCGGGGGGCGGGGGGGGGGGCGTCACGAGAGTTGCTGGAATTTACATTGAGCACAATTTCAGGGCCGGCCCCAAGCCCGGGTGAAAATGGGGGAGTGTTGGCGTGAGGCCCGCTAACTCACCCCGTAAGAAACAAATTGCCGCAGAAACGACAACAATTTCATACCACACATGGGACTAGATCTCCAGGTTTTTAATATTATGTTTTGTAGTTGAAAAGGTTGGGGGGAGGGGGGGTGTTTCTCCCGTATCCTTTTAACCCTTTTTAACATTTTGTATATTCGTATATAGTCGCAAGGCAGCGGGAGGTTTGAAATCTTAGTTTTTCATTCTCAGTGACGTTGAAATGGAGGCATTCCGCCCGGGGGTGGCAATTTTTCGGCCAACTACAGAGGGTTTTTTTCGTGGAAGAGGTAGCAAAAAAAAAAAAAAGATATTGGTCCGCCCGGGGGGGGGGGCAGTAACCTTAGTTACGCCAGTGTTCCTTCTCTCAGACGGATCCCCATCCGGGGTTGAAGCAAAGATTCAGTGACCATGCCGTGAATACAGCAACTTTTCTCAGTCAGCGTCGTTTGAAATTATCCGACTAAAATAAAATATAAAATTTACATACACACACACTTATATAGGCCCCCCTATATATTGTTAAAAAATAAAAGAAATATTTTTCCCTCTATATATATAGGCCTACTGATGATATGTATATATTAAATGCCGGAACATACAAAAATATCTTAAATTTTATCTTCAAATTTTTTTTTATCCACAATGTAAGACCTCGCTTGTCATGTCAAGTGATTGTATCGACAATGACAATAGAAATCCTCCGGTGTAATGTCAATTTATCAACGTTTTTACATGTTACGAATACGATCAAAAAGGAAGAAAAAACCCCAACAAATCTTATCATCCCGGACATTTTCAAAGTCTCTGACCCCAACGAGTAATTTCAACTCAACGCCATGGCGTAGCTAGTATTTTTCCACCCAGGGAGTGCCAAGATTTTTTGAAGCCCCTACCACGAAAAAAAAAAATCTGCGGTTAGCCCGAAATCCCACCCCTAAATAGTATACATATATATATATATATATATATATATATATATATATATATATATATATATATATATATATATATA